TGTTCAATGTTTCTTTAGATATATATGTCAGAATTCTGGTGTAATTTGGGTTGGTCAGAGCTAATAAGGGGCATCCATTATCAGAGGGTCTGGATAGGGTTAAAAGAATAGAGAATAATGGGCCAAATCTACAGCAAAATGGACAAAAAGAGAAAAATAGGGTAAAAAAATATAGAAAACTGAATAATGGGGTGCAAAAATATAAAGAATTGAGAATAATAATGGTCAAAGATAATAAATTATAGAGAAAAATGACATTAAAAATTAAAGAATACAGAATTGAAGGACATGTATCTGAAACAGACATCTGTATGAAAATTTTCCAGAAATCGCAATAATTAATCTCTCATTTTTGTTTATTCTTCAATAATTTAATTTTGGATGTAACACATCTTCTGATTGGCTGAAAGTGTTTTGTCTATCAGCTCATAGACATAATTTTGTCATGTGACCATGATGTCACCAATGTTTTTTTTCAAAATTTACTCCTTAAAAATGGAATTTAGAATTAAATTATAAGGAATGACTGTAATATTTTTTCTGTCTATTCAAAATAACCCAAAAAATATGGTGCACACTTTTAAATAACCTGCAACACGCTACACGGGTTATTCAGTGTGCACCACATTTTTTATGTTATTTCTTCATAGACAGAAAAAATATTACAGTCATTCCTTAAAAAATCGCAATAATAAATGCACCATTTCCATTCTCAATTTTATGCAATAATTTCTAAATTTACAGTTACTGTTTCCCATTGTTATAAACTGGTACCCTAAAGTGACTCTTTGTGACTGCTCCTACATGATGGTGTAGACTTCTTCTGAACTAAATGTCCTTACTGATTTCAAATAGTTGACTTTATTTATGATACAGTTACTAAAAAGAGTTCAATTCGACAAGTGTGACAAATTTGTTTTTAAATAATTTGAGACATTTCAATGTAGTATAAAAATGTCAAAGATAGAAAAAAATATGAAAAGTGTCAATTTAGATAGGCGTAATGGAATGTTACGTAATTTCTTTCTGAGTTATCTAACATATATATAACTTCATGTGTCTAATGGTGATCAATGGTATCTTAATGTTTGTACTGTTTCTATATTTTACAGCATGATTTTTGGACCACTTTTATCTTTTATAATGACAGCATTTGTATCACTTCTTTTAAAAAAAAGATTGAAATAAAAAGATTGTATGAGTAGAAATTCAGATAATAAATAATTAGGCAGGGATCACTGGAGGTAAGGGAGCTTTTGATTTTTAGGGGGGGGAGGGGGCTAGGATGAAATATTTTGTCCTGCATTTTGTTTTAGTTGTAATCTCTGTCCTGCTTTTTTATTTTTCACTCTATTTGGTCCTGCCTTTTTTTTTATTAGTTTATCCTGACTTTTTACCAAAATTGTCATCCTGCCTTTTATTTTTGCCAAGTTGCTCATCCTGCTTTTTTTTTTAACTCAAAACTCCTGTCCTGCCTTTTTTTTTCAAATTTCATCCAAGCACCCCCCCCCAATAAAAAAAAAAATGGTAGCTCCCTAAGTTTTCATTGCTGGACTTTATAAAAAAAGTATTTTACAAAATGTATATACATCTTAATGTGATCAAACAAAGTTAAAACTTCATTATATCCTTTTAAAAATCAATGAAAGTTATACTGATTAAGAAATATATTGCAAACTAACCTCAAATCATCTTATAAATTTAGATTAATGCAGAAAAATTTAAGAGAGGATCGAAGAACATCACCCTTTAAATTAGCTTGTTGTGATCCATTAATTAGTATGAACAGAGAAGATATGTATATTTTGTATTTCTTAAAAGTAAAATAAAGAACTCCAATTAAAATTCAAAACGGAAAATCCCTTATCAAATGGCAAAATTAAATGCTCAAACACATCAAACGAATATTCCTGAATTGGTACAGGCATTTCTATATGTAGAAAATGGTGGATTAAACCTGGTTTTATACAGATCTAGAGCTTATAAACCTCTCACTTGTATGACAGTTGCATAAAATTCTAAGTGCTTGAGTATTGATTAAGTCAGTTTTGTAACATACTTTTACAAAAGATTACATATTATACCCTGTAATTATAACATGATTTTAAATCACTGAGGTGATCAGTATTATAGATACTGAGAATATTGGCTTTCAGGTTATTAGCTTCACATAGTTATTGAATATATAACAAAAAGACTACATTTAGTAGTATAAACCATCATTAAATAAATGCTAATGACAAGATATAAAAAAAAAAGCATGTAGACACAAAAGTCATATTTTTTAATAAAATAAGTAGATGTGGTATGACTGCCAATGAGACAACTTTTTTTCCCCAAAGTTCAATTGAAGTGGATGTAAACAATTATAGGCGACTGTACAGCGCCTTCGACAATGAGAAAACCAATACCGTATAGACAGACATCTATAAGTTCTTTATATGAATAAAAGGAGATTTTGGGAATATTTAATCAGAAGCAATTAACTTAACAATAACAAGAATTCAATTATCAACAGACAAGTAAATATTGAGAGTTTTAAATTATACTTGATAAATAAATCATGAAAATCATAACTTCTTGAGAGAAAAAAAAAATCAAAAATATTATTGTTAGTATCTGAGACTACTATAACACATCTGTTATAGTAGTCTCAGTCAGTATTCATACGGAATGAAACTGTAAATGATTCTGTGATAACTACCAGTAGTGAAATTTGATAAAAATTTGAATAATAAGGAAAATTAAAAAGTAATAAAATAATTTAATAACAATTGACATTTTGTTTTGATACTGGTCTATGGGTCATAAGATACAAAACAGGTCACTATAAGTTACCAAATGAGGCCAATTTAACACCTATTCAATGTTTTAGGTCAAGGTCAATGTTGTCATATTATGCTTGTATGTTTTAACTAAAAATTATGGTTTTTTTTTAAAACTTTTCTAATTTTATATAATACCGGTAATAAGAAGTGTTTTTGTTTGTTACACATGTAGTAAGGATGCTTGTATCCTGTTGAACTATTTAAATGATCTAATTTTTTTTGCGATGTTAGCAATTGTGATCAATTGTATTAGACAATTATCAATAACAATAATTATGAGTAAACTTATTAAGAAAAAGGATAAGATAAATACACTTAATTTTTGTGATTATATTTTTTGTTTTTTAATAAGTTAAATCAAAATTATTGTTATTAATAGCACATTTGAGTAGCAACATAATGTCCATAAGCTATCATTCTATGAGTTATAGCTATTAATATCTAGTCTGTTGGCACTGCAGGTATTGATGAAATGTAGGTGTTTTTCCCCCTATATTTTTCTGCCATGTTTAAAGTTTCCTTTAAACCATGAATTTGGTAATGTCTAAGGATTAGACAAAAGACAATTTTTTTACTTCACCAATCTGCTGTAAAACTCATATGATGCATTATCTAAAGTGATTTGACTTAAAAATATATTTTGACAGGAGTAACATGGCAGTTGTCACCATTGAATGAAGAAGTAACTATATAGTGTATTTGGACTGTTTTTTTCTAGTCCTTTTCATTTTTGCCATGGTGGTGATGTCTGTTTTTCTTCGACTTATGGTTTAGAATCACTCACGGTTACATAAATATCTCCTTCTCTTTTAAGCTCAGCTGAACTGCCTCCCACTTCAAGATTTGGACATCTTCTCTTCTTTAAATTACAAAACTCTTCGAAATGAAAAAAAAAAGCTTTGATAATAGACTAAACTTACCTTCTACTTAAAAAAAAAAACCAAAACAGTCTGATATTTATTTAGAAGTAGGACCAATTCCCCTGAACTTATTTCACATCAGGGTCATTAAAACAATCTTTCAATCTTTAGTAAAATTCACATTATCACAGCTTCATGCATGTAATTTAAGATTCTAACAATATAATGTCTTATTTCTAAACATAATGTCTTATTTCTATACAGTAAATATCTTATTTCCAAACATAATATGTCTTATTTCTAAACAGTAAATATCTTATTCTAAACATAATGTCTTATTTCTAAACATAATGTCTTATTTCTAAACATAATGTCTTATTTCTAAACATAATGCCTTATTTCTAAACATAATGTCTTATTTCTAAACAATGTCTTATTTCTAAACATAATGTGCCTTATTTCTAAGCATAATGTCTTATTTCTAAACATAATATCTTATTTCTAAACATAATGTCTTATTTCTAAACAATGTCTTATTTCTAAACATAATGTGCCTTATTTCTAAACATAATGTCTTATTTCTAAACATAACATCTTATTTCTAAACATAATGTCTTATTTCTAAACAATGTCTTATTTCTAAACATAATGCCTTATTTATAAACATAATGTCTTATTTCTAAACATAATGCTTTATTTCTAAACGTAATGCTTTATTTCTAAACATAATGTCTTATTTCTAAACATAATATCTTATTTCTAAACAGTAAATATCTTATTTCTAAACATAATGTCTTATTTCTAAACATAATGCCTTATTTCTAAACAATGTCTTATTTCTAAACATAATGTCTTATTTCTAAACAATGTCTTATTTCTAAACATAATGCCTTATTTATAAACATAATGTCTTATTTCTAAACATAATGCTTTATTTCTAAACGTAATGCTTTATTTCTAAACATAATGTCTTATTTCTAAACATAATATCTTATTTCTAAACAGTAAATATCTTATTTCTAAACATAATGTCTTATTTCTAAACATAATGCCTTATTTCTAAACATAATGTCCTATTTCTAAACATAATGTCTTATTTCTAAACATAATGCCTTATTTCTAAATATAATGTCTTATTTCTAAACATAATGCCTTATTTCTAAACATATAACCAAATTAAAAATGCCTTATTGAGATAGCTCAGAACAGCAGATTTGATAAATTGGGGGAACTACTTAGTATTTATCAAGAAAATATTTTAAACAAGAACATTCTCAAACAAGTGTAATTTAACATTTCTTTTTTCTTTCAGATGTGCACAAAGTTCTACCAAAATATGTAAAATTTAACAGACATTACTTCAAAATTGTCCTCACAGCACAATGTGGTGTTGATTTTATGGAAACCGGTAAGATAAGGCTTATATGATATTTTATAAATTAGAATCTTTTATATTCAAATTTCTGAAGATTTTAACAATTTTCTGATATTGACTCTGCTATTGACTTAAGAAATACATTGGAAATTACAGTAAGTAAATTATGTCTCAATCTCTATAAAGCCAGAACCAAGCTCTAGCCAGTAAAAAATGTGGTCGGCCAGTAAGGTTTTCCAGAAAAGAGGCCTCACAAGCTGTCTGAATTTAAAGAAATTTTATAAAAGACAGATTTTCTGGCTTGTAAGTCAAAAATATTTCCTTGATGATTGATATCTTAAGTGTTTACTATTTAATTTTTAGGACTTTTTTGTGTTTGACATGCACTTTAAATTTACCTACAGGAAAATTGATACCATAGATAAACATGCTATTAGCCATAAACAGTTTTGAAATTGAAACCACTTTTTTCTGAGAATTTAACTAAAAATCACCGAACAATACTTTTTTGAAATATGATTTTGAATTGATATATATATTACAATTGTATATATTAAAGAAACACAAGTCACCAAAAATTATGACCGTTGTCTATTTTTGGTGAAATTCATAATTTATGAGTCACATATGATATGTCTGCATTGTGAGAAAATATCAAATTTATTTGTACAAGCTTTAGAAACCAAAAACGTAAAAGGCAAGACAAAGCTTTCTGAATTTTTTCTTCTGTTTAAAAGCAAGAACTTATAAATTTTCTTTTTTTCTAGCAATGTAAGCATTTAGTGTTTGATCCTCATCTATATATTAACACTTCAATGTTGATTTGTTTAGTTATCAGTTTTTTGTCCTTGATTATCAAAAGAATGAGAGTTCCATGGATTCAACAATGAAATGGACAACTCCACTCATGTTATAGGTGTAATACCACAAAATCATAGTATGTCACAACGAGTTGCATAAGAAAAAGGGTAGAAAAAAATATTCCCTTGAATTTGACAGTTGAAGGAAATTATCCTACATTTCATTGCTATAAAAAATTTCTGAGTCATAAACACATATCTTGGGTGTTCAAAGCACCATTCTTTTTTTATTTGGTGTTTCTATAGAATACTTTGGAAACTTGAGGTTACATGGTTACTAAAGCTTGTACACAGGAAAAAAAGGGTGAAAATTTGATTGGTTAACTTCCAGTGATGGTTATTTTCTTATATGCAATGATCAAAATATTATGTGAAATTTTGTCTGTAGTACTGGACAGGATAAAACTTTACTCATGCCAAGTATTTCTTTATTTGAAACAAAGATAAATTCTGCACAATTTTTTTGAGAAGTGCAAATTTAACAAAGACTAAATAGGTGGAAAACAATGGTGGTATTACACCTATATACCTTTATCACAAAAAGAATTGTTACTGGATCATTGCAGTTTGAAGTTGTGTTGCATGCTGGGAGTTGGTACCAGTAAACTATTTCATACCTATGATCAAACCCATTTGGTACCCCTATGGGTCAACTGCATAAACCATGTTGTGCCTTGTAAGTATTGCAAAATGATATTTGTATCTTTTTTACAACACATTAATGGCCAATTGTTTTTAATCTGTTTCATGTTGATTTACAGATCATCAACCCTTTAGGTAACAAGTGATCATAAGTGTGAATCATTGAATAAAAAAACAATGATATCAAAACTGTAATCAAATTTTTGTATTTAACAGCGTTTTATGATGAATTATGACTTAAAAATTATTTTTTTAATATTTTCTTTTGTTAACAAGTAAACAAAAACAGTAATATTTTACATAATTATTTATTTGTCATTGATATGGTATTGTATCTCTATAAATGTGAAATACAATGTTATTGTTGAAGAGACCCTCAAATGAATGTATTAAGTAATTTTCTTTGATAATAAAATCTAAAAAAATCATATTTTATATATATCTAATTCCTTATATTGTATTAATAGTCTTTTAAAACAAGTTAAGGAAACGATCGCCTCCCTTTGAATGACCTTTTGACCCTTCAGTAGCACCTTAGATCACCCCTGGTATTGGCAGGGTTCTTGTTGTACAGTATTTAGTTTTCTGTGTATTACTTTGTAGACTGTGATGGTCGCCTTTTCATCCTTTTCTTTTAGGCATAGTGTTATCAAAATAGGAATATGTGGTATGATTACCAATGAGACAACTCTCCACCAGAGACCAAATGATATAGAAGCTATCAACTATAGGTCACCTTTGGACCTTCATTAATGAGCAAAATCATTATCACATATACATATAGCAAGCTATAAAAGAAAAATGACAAATGTAAAACAATTCAAACGAGAAAACTAACGACCGATTTACGTACAAAACAATATACTTAGGTACTGGTAAGTGGCCCCTTTTTTGTCAGCTTTCACAATATACTCCTTAAATTTATGTTTATTTTTATAAAAAGATTAAATCTAAAACAAATAGAACAATTAAAAAATAAATATTTTGAAAACTATTATTTTCATCTCTACTTCATTTAAATGTTTAACTTTTTTTTTATTATACTCTAACATCAACAACTTTTAGGCTGTACAGATAGATACACACTGAGACTATGTGACTCGTGAATTGATTGTAGTGAAGGAAAAGGGGTTATGGCTTGGCTTGAATTGTTACAGTCTTAAAAACAATAATCTATCAAAGCCATAAGTTCATTGCAATACTAGAAGTTTTAAATTAATTTCAGTTAATACTTAACCATGGGAACAGGTTTTTGAAACTGTTTGTTTTAAAGTATAAAAAAGATGTCCCCTAAATTCAGCTGGAAAAATGTTCGTATGCGTTATTACCTGAGATTTTATTCTTCTATGCAGGTCATGACCTGCATTTTCATTTTCATATGTTGACAGGTATGTATACAATACACATGAATGGAATCCTGGGGTTATAGCCAAGAAAGTTCAAATTGAAAAAAAAAAATTTGGGTTGAGAATTATAAGGAAATTATAAGAAAAAGACTATTCAAATCAGATCAGGGGTTGTGATCTATGCTAGATTTATGCTTATGGTTATTTTCCAAAAGAATATTTTGATCAGGGAGAAGGTTAAAAAAATTCTGATTGAGAGCTTTTTGTCATTAGATTTAATCCACAACCCCCTCCCCCTGGAATATTAAATAGTTGCTCCATAATGTAGGATCAAGCAGATGATGAAGATAAGATAGTAAACAAGTTTTTATGTAGCCTAATTTTTGCACAGTCAGGCTTATCTTGTATGACATTTTGTTCAGTAACATGCTTGTCATGTACATTCTGTAAATTATCTTTCTATAAAAGACTTTACTTTCCCACTCATTGACATTTTCTTTCATTGTATGTTTCTACTTTTTGAAAGGCAAAGTGGTATGGAAAAGACACTAGCTAATTACTGAGGACGAAATTGACATATCCTATGTGATTGACAACCCAAACAAAAAGATTAATGTCTGTTAATGCTTGGTCAGGAAAAGTAATGAAAATTAATGTTAGGTAATGGATCTGTTTTTCTCAAGATGAAATGTAATTCAACAGGGCTCAGCTTCCTTTGTTAATATCTGGTTTATGCAAGGTTAATATTTTGATGGGTCAATAAGGAGTTTATCACTCAGTTTTGTATGAGACATGAAAAAGGAAGCGAACAACACCTATTTTTGGTCAATTAACAAATTTTCTATGTGGTAAAATGTTGCTGGGTGTTTTTCTTAATCCTTAGTATTCTAATTCAAGGTTTATGTGATGCATACCTTTGAAAACAGGAAAGACAAATGTTCTTATCTCCATGTATATTTCAAAGTCCAGATTTAGTAGTAAATTAGACATCAAACCAAATGAAATTACACCAGATTTTTCAATAGACCACATATGCTGTAGATTCAGAAATTGTTGTGATGTTTTTATTATTGCCAAAAAGAAAAATCTTTAAAACCATTTGAAATTTGATAGCATTATTTGTATGCAGTAGGTGATTTGGGGGGTGTGGGGGGTCCACGGATTGGAACCCCCCTTTTTATACCCCCGCTTTAAAAAAGTGGGGGTATACTGTTTTACCTCTGTCTGTCCTTCTGTCAGTCCATCCGTCAGTCCATCTGTCCCATGAATATTTTCAACGCATTTTTCTCAGGAACTACTTGACAAGGATTTCTGAAATTTGGTTTCAGGGTTTATATAAGTAAATTACACCGTGTGATGTGTTTTCGGATTCATCACTCAACAACTTTCTGTTTACCGAACACTTGTATTATTTACACATGATAGCCAAGTTGAAAATTTTCATCACATTTTTCTCAGGAACTACTTGACAAAGATTTCTGAAATTTGGTTTCAGGGTTTATATAAGTAAGTTATACTGTGTGATGCGTTTTCAGATTCATCACTCAACAACTTCCTGTTTACCGAACACTTGTATTATTTACACATGATAGCCAAGTTGGAAATTTTCGTCATATTTTTCTCAGGAACTACTTAACAAGGATTTCTGAAATTTGGTTTTAGGGTTTATATAAGTAAGTTACACCGTGTGATGGGTTTTCAGATTCATCACTCAACAACTTCCTGTTTACCGAACACTTGTATTATTTACACATGATAGCCAAGTTGGAAATTTTCGTCATATTTTTCTCAGGAACTTATTAACAAGGATTTCTGAAATTTGGTTTTAGGGTTTATATAAGTAAGTTACACCGTGTGATGCGTTTTCAGATTCATCACTCAACAACTTCCTGTTTACCGAACACTTGTATTATTTACACATGATAGCCAAGTTGGAAATTTTCGTCATATTTTTCTCAGGAACTACTTAACAAGGATTTCTGAAATTTGGTTTTAGGGTTTATATAAGTAAGTTACACCGTGTGATGCGTTTTCAGATTCATCACTCAACAACTTCCTGTTTACCGAACACTTGTATTATTCACACATGATAGCCAAGTTGGAAATTTTCGTCATATTTTTCTCAGGAACTACTTAACAATGATTTCTGAAATTTGTTTTCAGGGTTTATATAAGTAAGTTACACCGTGTGATGGGTTTTCAGATTCATCACTCAACAACTTCCTGTTTACCGAACACTTGTATTATTTACACATGATAGCCAAGTTGGAAATTTTCGTCATATTTTTCTCAGGAACTACTTAACAAGGATTTCTGAAATTTGTTTTCAGGGTTTATATAAGTAAGTTACACCCTGTGATGGGTTTTCAGATTCATCACTCAACAACTTCCTGTTTACCGAACACTTGTATTATTTACACATGATAGCCAAGTTGGAAATTTTCGTCATATTTTTCTCAGGAACTACTTAACAAGGATTTCTGAAATTTGTTTTCAGGGTTTATATAAGTAAGTTACACCCTGTGATGGGTTTTCAGATTCATCACTCAACAACTTCCTGTTTACCGAACACTTGTATTATTTACACATGATAGCCAAGTTGGAAATTTTCGTCATATTTTTCTCAGGAACTACTTAACAAGGATTTCTGAAATTTGTTTTCAGGGTTTATATAAGTAAGTTACACTGTGTGATGGGTTTTCAGATTCATCACTCAACAACTTCCTGTTTACCGAACACTTGTATTATTTACACATGATAGCCAAGTTGGAAATTTTCGTCATATTTTTCTCAGGAACTGTTTACCGAACACTGGCAGGATCCGCCCCTGTGCAGCAATTACTGAAATTGCCATTATTAATTAAACTATCAAAATGTGAGCAATCGCAATAATAAAAGCACGCAATAATTTCTAAATTTTTGGTACTTATATTGTTTATATAATTATTTCCTTTTTGCAAAGAGATTAAACTTTTGACAGCTGTGGTAGACTTTTAAAAGCAATATTCCAAATTTCAAAAAATGTCATCTTTTTATGTTATGTAATAGTTGTTAACCTACTTGTTTAGAAGAAAACAGATGTGGGGTAATATACACAACTTACAGATTTTAGTGATGGAAAAGAAATTATCAAAAAAATAATGGTATTAATTGCCTGATATTCTCAGTAGAAAATGCCCAGACAATAAGAACATTTAGGCAACCACTGGGCACATCAAGATACTATAAGGGTCGTAATGGGGGTACCTTCATGACAAATAATGGTAAAAAATCTAGCTAAATGACATCATCCATAGTTTTGGGTGCATGATGTTAAAATGTACACTTTCTTTATGACAATAAAAAAATTGTCTGATTTTGATGAATTACGTTAAATTCTTTCCAAAAACATTGTAACAGTTAATTAGTTGAGACCTCTGACGAATCATGATAAGGATTTTTGACGAATCAGGATGAAATTTTAACCAATTTGATGCTAATGGTAGCCAAAAATGACCGTTTGACGACTGACGTTAGAGGGCATTTCTACCCTCTACTATAAATTCAGAAATTAATGAGTGCATTTGTAATTGCGAATCCTTGAACTCTTTTCTACCTCAGGAATAGATAACCTTAGCTGTATTTGGCAAAACTTTTAGGAATTTTTGGTCCTCAATGCTCTTCAACTTCGTACTTTATTTGGCTTTTT